AAATTGAAGAATGAACCAAAGGTCAATAATGGTGCCAGCACTCTTTCTAGCGTCTCTGTCATAGTCAGTTTCTCGAGTCGTCGGCTTTAACTGAATTAATTCTTGCTGCATGAGATATAAACACGTTTTAATATTTTTTATTAAGGTTTTCAAAAATAGTTTTTGCAGTTCCTCTAGGAGAGGAACTTCCTTTGTAAGATATGTAAGATATGTACTGATAACGAGATAACATATTTATGCCATTTAATCAGCAAGTACTGAACACAGAATGGACATAGATAATCTAGATCAGATTGCCTTTCTTTTCGCGGAATTTTTATTTATAGATACGTAGATTGAAGTCACTAGATGTGGATCACTCTTGAAAAAAAAATTTCATATTTTTATTTAGAAGGATATGAAATTAATAAAATATTTAATAGTTATAATTGATCATAGAGATCACATTATGGATGATTTTATTTCATTTCGATACCGTTTTATACGTTTTAATTTTGATTAAATTAAGTAATAATAATTATCTACAATTAGACCCCATATACTAATTGCGAATCAGTTTACCAAATGCTTTACCTTTTAGGATTTAATTTTAATTGAGTATGATATATTGATTTTTTTTCATGACATGTAATGCTATTTACTATCTTCTGTATAATAGCCATAAGACAATTCTTATGTGATATCACATTTTAAATAAATTTTTATAGATATCCTAGTTTATCCTAGTTTCATTTTTATTAATTAATGACATTAAAATATGCAGCTATTGCCATAAAAAAACAATTGAAAAAGATAAAGCAAATGCTAAAGAATCTTGTGATATGCATTAAATAATATATATAATATGTAGAAAATACTATATAATTATTTATTGTAAATATAATGTGCAATCCAGAACTAGTGCCTGATTCATATTTAATGCTTTTACTCTATTATTACAAGGCACAAATAAATGTAATGTTACTAGCACTTTGTCTTTATATTAAGTACAAATGCTTAATGAATTTTTATTTATATGGCTTCTGATGATACGTGATGACTTAAGTTGAAAACTGATAACTTTGATAAAATGTTTGATATTTAAGATATATGCACAATACAATGCTCTTTGTAAAAGTATTGTAAGTACAATTATTTTTATAATGATAATATAATTTATTAATGTAAACATAAAACGTGATGTTAATTTTACTATTATTTTTTATTTTTATTCTCAAAATATTTTTATATATATGTACATAATTTTATGTACTTACATGTATACACTATCATAGTATTTATTTTCGTAAAGTAAAAGGTTATACAATATACTACAAATAAAATTTGATTTTGACTAATTGTTTTGCCTTCTATTTTTTAATTTATTGTAGAAATTCAGATATACAATATTATATACAATATTATATTATATTAAACACGCATAAGATATCATAGAAACCGCCCTATATCTATGAATGGATTGTAAAACGATGGAAAAAAACTAATATATCAAGATATAATGAACTTAATACGATGTTTCATGTCTTTTTGTAATACATGATAAAAAATATAGAGTAATATAAGTATAAAGAAAAGTCACCGATACACTGTCATAGGTCTCCTAAAGCAACACCCTTTTATTTCTCAGAAACTAATTGATGGACTTTATTTAATATTACTAACAAAAACATGATCTGTTAACTGTTTAGTTAATTAAAAAATTGTAAACGCATAATTCGTATTTTTGGCTTGTTTTTATACAAAATCAGCTAAAAATGAATTCTATGAAAATAAATAAATAATTTTCTGCGAAAATAAAATTCTTACGATTTTCAATTGCAAATTGTGTAATTTAAATAATAGCGATTATATTATTAATAATATTATATCATTTTAAATGCTTATAATTTCCTAAATCCAATTTTATTTATATTATTTTTTCTCTCTTAGTTTCTTCATAATACGATTTAAAATATAAAATGTAAACCGGCATACCTGTCTGTAAAACATATCATGAATTAACTTAATAATGTTTTTATAATGTTGCTTTATAGTGTCAAATTTACTCGTAGTATTTTATACAGATAATTTCTGTAAAAGAAAAAAGATAGAAATATGTAGCATATATTATATTACTGCCTATTGTGTCAATATTGGAGCTCATTTTATCAAATGCTTATTTTTGCTTATCTTACTTAAAAAATTATTTATTGCAAAATTACAAACAATATTATAAAAACTGCTTATATTATTTGATAGAAGACACTTTTTAGTTTGTATTTATATATTTAAAGTTTATTTTTATCTTTTGTTTAATTAAGAAATATTATCTAAAAACAAAATGGTATGGCGGTATCGGCGACTTTTCCCTAAATGTATAAAATAATATTACCATTATATTAGAGGAAACCAGAGTTTCGGAACTGATTGTCACATGAGATTGATTCTCAACAAGCTAATAACTCAACCAAATATTCCTCTTTTTACTGTAGATTGTTGATTAAATTATGTAAAATGTTCTGCATCAAAAACGTTTGTTATTTACAATGTTATAATCTGCCCGTTTTTAATCGCCATTAAAAAGCAGTAGATGGTGAAGGGCTTCAGGTACCCTTTGATCTTTAGAACTAGTCACTTCAAAATTACTGCAATGTAAATGTTTAAATGTCGCATTTAGAATTTAATCTGTGCAGAATCGTACAAAATTTGTCTTCAGAACTCTGGTGAAAATAAAAATCGGATCGAATGTAATAAAAGAATAGTAGAAACGTAAACAGAACTTTTAGAAGGCGAAAATTGAAACAACAGAATGTAAAAAAAAACGTAAATGCTTTTTTTACTATTTAGTATAAGTATACTAAATGGTAATACTAAATATTTATGAAAATAAAATTTTGTTTAGTTATACTTGAACATTTGATTGAAATTATTTTATTCGACATTTGGCAGCTATATAACCACTTTTTCTTTAGTGTGTTCTCTTTAACGAAGATACAATCAAAATATATACCAGGTATGTAAATATGAAACCGGATTTTTTAATAGAAAATACATGTTTATTGCATAAAAATGATAAAAAATATTTTATTCGAAGTATTGCCCATCGATAGCTATACATTTTTTCCACCTGTTTGACAATTTGTGGATGCCACGCCAAAAAAATTGTTGCTCTTTTGAGCCAAACCATCTAGCCATTTTCACATACATCTTCGTAAGAAGTGAAGCGCTGCTGAGCAAGTGCGTGTCCCATCGATGCAAATAAGTGGTAATCGGACGAAGCCAAGTCTGGTAAATAAGCCGCATGCGAAAGTATTTCCCAAATGCCAAATCGTTCCTTAACCAGTCTTGCTGTGTGTGGGTGCTTTATCATGAAGCAAAATCACTTTGTGTTATTTTTTTTGATATTTTGGTCGTTTTTCACACAAAGCTTGATTCAAATTGATCATTTGTTGTCGGTAGCGATCAGTATTAACGGTTTCGCCAGGTTTTAGCAGCTCATAATAGATCACACCTTTCTGATCCCACCAAACACAGAGCATTGTCTTCCGTCCATAGCGATTTGGCCTTGCAGTCGATGTCGATGATTCGCCTGGAGTTACCCATGATCTTTTACGCTTAGGATTCTCAAAATGTATCCACTTTTCATCGTCAGTCACAATTCGATGGAGAAATGACTTTCTTTTGTATCTGGCGAGCAGCATTTCGCAAGTAGTTTTTCGATTTTCCTGCTGTTTTTCATTCAGTTCATGTGAAACCCATCTTCTGGATCTTTCCCATAGATTTCAAACGTATGGAGACGGCTTCTCGTGTCACATTCAATTGATCCGCGAGTTGTTGTTGAGTTTGAACGTCATCCTCATCCAACAATGCTTGCAATTCACGGTCTTTTTCGGTGGTTTTCCACGTTTTTCGTTTCTCACGTCAAAATCGCCACTTTTGAATTTTTTTAAATCACTCAAAGCACTGTGATTTACCAAGAGCATGCTCATCGTAGGCTTCGACAAGCATTCGATGCGATTATGCAGCAGTTTTCTTCAAGTGGTAAAGAAAATAGTACAGAAAATCAATGCTGTCCGCAAATCGTAGTTTCCAGGCACAAAATTCGACATGTTCAACGCTATTACAAACTGTTGTATGAAACTTGTATTGTTGTGAATTGAAAATCTTTCAGATATCAGAACAAGGAAATGGCGTCAATGGCGCCGTCTGACGGCAATTACATTGACATTGATTACAGCTATGGCCATCTATTAGTAAATTCCGGTTTCATATTTACATACCTGGAGTTAGCAGGAACGAAGTTATTAAAATAATGAAAAATTAAGTTTTTAGTACTTAAAGTTAAGTAATTAAAGTTATCATGATTGTTATAAACACTCAAATAAATGCTAAACTCGAATTTGTTTATTTTTAAGAAAAAGTGTAATCGTAATTTGGAGTTGAATTTTATCATAGATTTACCCTCAAATGTGACGCACTATTCGTGCATTATGTGCTACATTTCCTTCGACAATTAAATTGACACGAGGCGAACAACTTAAACCCCATTCTTAAAAAATATTGCATACATAAAATTAAGGAAATGCTATAATATACGTAACATATGCTACCATACTACGTACGTATACTGTAATATTTCCGTAGTCTTAAATACGCAGTACTTTTGAAAAATATGGGCCTTACTTTTTCGTGATGTCATAGATTCATCCTTAGTAATACCAGACTTTGGTATAAGTTACTGTTTAAACGTTATGGCAAAAGGATAATGTCCAACTCTTAATCATGAATTCAATTTTAATAATTATTAAAAGAAATATGCATCACAAGAAGTGTAAAAATACGCAAATAAATATGTGCAAATACATAGAATGTTTATTTCCAGTTTTTAATATGCATATCGTTTATACTTTTAGTACGTTGTATATATTTTCTCTTAAAATATTTATTAAAATATAAAAATTATAAATATATTTAGCACTCCATTAAAGATATATGTAATAAATGTTAAATAAGTATTAATTTTATTGCAACACAAGAGTTTCAATACCTCCTTTTCGTACAACTATATCATCTGTCTGTCTACTTTCTTCTGCACAATGAATTTTACAAGAAAAGATTCTGAAACATAAAAGAATTTTTTTTATTAACATTTATGAAAAATTAAAAACATTCTAGATATTACATTGAGTTAGGGAAAGTCTTTTTACAAATTAGTAAAAAGACCTTTTCCATCAATATCTTCATTAAAAATGATCAAAATTTAAATTAAAAAAAATAATTTTAAAGCTTAAAATTTCTACTTTCGAATAATTACTATATTTTTGTAATTTAACTAAATTTTGTAATTTTTACACATAAAAGACTATGAGTATAATATGAAAAAGTTTTTATTCACTTAGGTCTGTAGCTCAAAAAATTTTTGAGCAAATATTCGAATCTATCTAAAATATCTATCGTGAAAGCTTAAAACTTTCCCTACATAATCGTATAATAAAAAAAAATGTTTTTACAATTTTTTGTTTGTTCTTTATGATTTTTTTTCTGAGTTATTCACTAATTAAGATAAAAAGAAACATTCTGATTGTTCGCAACTCCATTAAAAATCATCGTATCGTAATCATCGTATGGAAAATATAACACTAACCAAACATAGGTTACTAATTAAGACAAAGCAAAATCGAACGGTCACTAAGTACATTTACATATAGAGATATATATCTATTATTTAATGAAATGTATATAATGTTATAAAATTATAGCAATGATTTTCTATTGATAATTGATCTAACTTTCCTACAGTAATCAAAGTTTCAATCGAAAGCCAAGTTTTGTTTATTCAAGTCTATTCATTACTTCACAGACTTTTGATTACTAATTGATACATTCACTTCATTATCTTTTATATATGAAACAAATTCATATTTATTACATATGCACGATTTTCTTTCATACGTAATTAGCATATAACAAATCATTAAGTTGAGTACATAATATAATTATCATCTACCTATTTATAAATATAAAACATAAGTACATGAATTATAATAATTGATTAATGAATTATAATAAGAAATAAATAATTTGATAAGATAACAAAGTGCATGATTACGTTTCTGTCCAGTAAAAATATTTGTAAACATAATTACATGGAATCTATGACAGTACACATTGTAATATTATTGCATTGTGATAAATATAAATTTATTTTATAATTAAGATAGCATTTTATAGTGACTTAATAGGAGGATACGCTTTGAAAAGTAAAAAGCTTTTTGAGCATGTATTGTAGGAAAAGTATAAATACATATCATTTATAATTTGACAATTTATTAATATATATGTTGTGACGTGACGTTTTCCGTTCGTCACAAAGGTCGGAAGACCGAACAATGCAACTCTGGCGTCCTCTGAGTCCTTCCACTTTTTAGAAGGCGGACATATCTGCGCGTTTCTATGGCGTTATTTCATCGATTTCGCGTTTGTTTCATTTAATTTGTGCGTTCCACAGATTTTTTGCGTCAATTTATCGTTCTTTCGTGCATTATCGTACCGCGAGTTTTGCAGGATAATTGACAACTTCTTTACAACCTTATGAATTTTGCGTCGTCTCACCGAACCATAGATGAAGAGAGAAGATGGCCGGAAGAGGAGTGATGGCCGGGAGAGGATGGAAGACGAATCGGCTGAGGCGCCCAGCATCTTACAGGACGGGTAGCACGCAGATGATATCGCTCCGTATTTCGATATATTTGCTTTGGGTCGAGATATGTTTTATCGTCACATATTACAGGCGCAGGGATAGCAGCTGGGGATGGCCTCTCTACGCCCAATTGTCGGTGAGACCTGATGACGGAGCTTGCGGAGCCCTCTCCTGAAAGGTCGGTACCTAGAGTCGGAAGCGGAGGCGCCGATTACGGGGACGCCGACATCGAGATGCTAGTCGCCTACAAAATCGAGATCCGGGAGGGTCTTCGAGACGGCCGAAGGAAACTGTACGACTCGTTAAGTCTCTCTGGCGTACCGATTTATCTTGATTGTCGGAACTTCGTATCGTGATGTATGTGTTCTCTATTTCCGACATTTTATAAAGTAGTTTGAAGACCCGCGGATGAGTTTGCGCCATGTTTGATACCGTAACCGTCTCCTATTTCGGTTATCAGAGCGTCGAGTTAATGCTCGTGCGATTTGCGAAAAGTATTCTTACGTGGTGTTCTTACGTTCTTGTGCTATCGAGAGTTAGCGTAATTAATACGCCTCGCGTAGAGCATATCAGGGCAAGTGCGAGGCTAAAATAATGCATTCGATCGGATATTGTTGTCGCGACCTTGTTAACGAGTACGAACGAGAGTCGGAGATTAATCAAATATATTTGTTACTGTTATTAATTATTGTGTAATTCATTGCCTTACTCGCTTCTCCTAACGATCTTCTATATTCGATCATCCTCTCTGCCATTTTCGAGGCTGAGCCTCGAAAAGCTAGCTGTCAGTTACGAGAGTAACCGAGAGTTGACTCGTTGAGTCAACGATCGCAATTCTGTAGAAAATCGCATAGAGAATCTCCCGATTAATTTCGATGAAAAGTGGCACGCTCTCACTCGTGCCTGGCGCCCAACTATTATTTTCGAGATCTTGCATGACCCTCAGGAGAGGCTGGGTAAGGACACGTTTTCTGTGGTGTTTCCAATAAGATCAGACGGAAGTTTGTTGTAAAAACGGGAATTCTGCCGAGTCGAGAGAGAATTAGCTGCGATCACGACGAAGTTGCGCCACGCTCGTGAGTGCGATTGCAATGTGTATGGAACTTGTAATGTTGCAAATTGAGAAATATTGATCTTGCGAGGAAATGCAGCAATTCACTAAAATGTGATTGTGCGTGTACCGGTAAATGGTACACGATTCCACTATTTTGGTTATCCTGAAATAAAAAATCCAAATTATGAGTAGAGTATTTGTACTTTTCTCTAGTCTGACTAAAATTTTTGCCAAAACTGAACCGAAACATTCGGCTACACATCAATTTCAACCGAAACCAAAAACAAAATTAAAAAGAAGGAAAAATAATATTATAATAAGATCGGACAAATGAGAGCCATTATACGATTATTATTAGTGTAGCTCAATTTACGGACAAACATAGAAGAACTTTCCAAGACTTTCTTTTCAATTACTAGATAGATTATAAATGTCGATTTATTTTGGTTTTAGTATTAGGTGTACAACTTTGCTTCCGCCGTTTTTTTTCCGAAATTCGAGGCTTTATTGTAAAAAACTGGTTATACATTTATGATTCAAAAAAAAAAATTGTCCATCGCTGGCCACTACTTTCTCCCAACTTTCGGGTAGTGTACGAATCCCGCGTCAAAAAAACTGGTCATCTTTTGAGGCTATCCACGAATCGATCCAATTTTTTACTTCTTCATAAGACCGGAAGTGCTGGTCAGCCAGGCCGTGTGCCATTGATCGAAACAAGTGATAGTCAGAGGGAGCAACGTCTGGAGAATACAGCGGGTGGGGTAGGACTTCCGATTTCAACGTTTCCAAGTATGTCTTGATCACTTTCGCAATATGTCGAGCATTGTCATGCTGCAAAATCACTTTATCGTGTTTCTCGTTGTATTGCGGCCGTTTGTCTTTCAATGCTCGGCTCAAACGCAATTGCATTCGATATCGATCGCCTGTGATTGTTTCAGTCGGTTTTAACAGTTCATAATACACTACGCTGAGCTGGTCCATCAAATACAGAGCATGACCTTGGAGCCGTGAATATTCGGTTTGG